CACACACACACACACACACACACACACACACACACACACACACACACACACACACACACACATTTACATGGGGCGAATGAGATGCTTGGCTGAACGGACTATGTGGGTCTGTTTGCCGTAAAGAACGTGGATAGGAGCTGTGGTGGATATTGCCGTTGCCTTGGTGCTTGCATTCTCTGCTTGTCTTATGAACAGACCAATCCTCAAAGGGAATGACGACTAATAGAATCATTACGTCTTTTCATGAACACGGGCATGAACGTTGAAAGTGCTTCACCCTAATGACAAAGACACGCCACATTTGTCCTCATGTACACACGAAAAGGAGCATATATTAGGTGAGAGCACACCAATACACTTTGGGACGAGTGAGTAAGCGAAGAGGGATGCTGCTGGCCCCAGGTCACCCAATCACTCAAACTCTTTGGGAAGAAACTCGTCAAAAAAAAGTCCCAAGCAAAATTCCCCCAGGTGTGCCTTCGCCACAGGCTGGTGCTGCTAAACCACATCCCCCTCAGGTTGGGTATTGGGAAGGGAAAAAGAGAGAGAGAGAGACCAATCAACCCAAGATATACTGTACCTTGCGCCGTCAGGTGCCTAAACCTGCAGCGGTCACCATACGGGCACCCCTCCGGTGTGTTCCACCTGTGACACTCGGTATCTGCACCGTCCCCACCTGACCCCAGTCTAAGCCTCTTCTGAGGGGGTCCTGATCCCTCCATCATCCCACCTTCTCTCGTTTGCCAAAGCCAAACCTTACAGCCTCAAAGCGCACCGTCCGTCTGCCTCCCTGTTTTCACAGCTCAGCAGACTGTGGAAAAAAAATGAACTTTCCTATTCCGTGTCCCTGTTTCACAGCCAACCACACCCCACAGTCAGAACTTAGAAAAAAAAACGAACTTTCCTGAAGAGTCGTGAAGACTCTCTGTTTCAATTTCTGTTCCAATTCGGCCCGAGAAAAGAGGAAGCGGGGGACAGAAGAAAAAGACCTTAAACCACAACTACCTCCGAGGCTGTTTGGCTTTTCGGGAATTTCACTGCGCACCAAGTTTTGCCGAGCCTGGGTTCCATTGCATTTTCTTTTCTGGTCCTCCTCAAAAAAGGAAAAGAAAAGAAAACTTTTATCATCACGCCAGTCGTTTTCAAAAAATGCACCAGGAAAAAAAAAAAAAAGCAACAACGCTATGGGCCTGTTTTGCAGCCAGATACAGAATCCGGAGTACGTGAGTGTGCCCTCAGTCAGGGCGTCACAGCCACGCGGTTATCACGGCTGTTGCTTCCGAAAACCAAAACAAAAAAACACACACAAAAAAAGCAACACCCCCATGGACATGAAAGCAGTTGAATACAGAATCAGGAGTACATGTGAGAGCATGCACCTCGTTGTTGGCCTTCCCGAGGTCGTTTCCGTCTACACAATTGCCTTTCCCCTTCCCCCCCCCCTCCCCCTTGAAATGGGGCCACAGGCCACCGACCCTCTGCCAGACAAAATGGGAAAACTGCCTGTTTTCCCATTTACCCCCAGGCTCGGAGGTAGTGGTGCTTTTCCAAAGTGTACCCCAGCTCCCCACCAACAGACCCCCTATTTCTCGCCCCTGTTTCACAGCCAACCACACCCCCGCAATCAGAACTTAGGAAAAAAGCGAACGAACTTTTCCAATTTGGCCCGATAAAAGGGGAACGGGGGGACCGAAGAAAAAGATCTTAGACCACGACAACCTCCAAACCTCTTTTTGCCGAGGCGGAGTAGAACTGCACACCAAGCTTTGCCGAAGCGCCAGGGTGACCTTTTTTCTTTACTTTTGGCTGGCGCCGCCAGCCATTTTGTTCCGGTGGCGCCCAGCCTCCAAAGGACGCTGGTATAGGTTATATTCACTTTTAGCCTTCCACTCTGGAAGGCCATTGTGGTTTAAGGGATAGGAAAGATCAGGAGGGTACATCATCAAAACTGCACGCCAGCTCCCCACCAATAGAAAGGTGCTAACCTCAAAAAGAGGGGACGATATCAAGTGGTGGCCATAACACGAGCTATTGTTGAAGAATTAAAAAACTCGACACGCACTCAGCAAGAGAGAGTAACCTCCCACACCTACACCGACACCAGTACCCGCTCCATGTGGCTAAACAGGACAGACATGTAACTATTAATAAACAGGTCATGACTTCGAATTCCTGATGGAATCAGGTGGATAAGGCGGGCGGTGAGGGGGGTAAAATAAAAATACAAAAAGAAGAAAACTGTGTCTCATCTACGCTATCGATGGCGTGCCCATGCCGCCCATTCTGCTCCCGCATCTCCAGGAGCTCCTTTGGAGCTTTCCCCGTCACCCTCTGCACTTCGCAACATCATTTCAACCCCATATCAACGACATTTCAACATCATTTAAAAGTCCTTTATGACACCTCTTTTATCTCAAGAGCTCCCCTGCTCGCTTTAGCTCTCACACTTCAAATCCTCCTCTGCCATCCCACCCCCTCCCTGCCACCACCCTCTCTGTACATCCATTCGGATGGCCCCTTTCCAATCCCTCCACCCCATCTTCCCTCAAGCGCCCCCCTGCTCTCTTTAGCTCACACATGACACTCTCTGCCGTCCAAAACCCCCTTCGATGCCCTCTTTTGCACCCTTATTGCCACGGACCTCCTCTCTCCAAACCTTTTTTTTTTCTTTCTCCCTTCTTTTTTTTTTTTCAAGTGCGACACCTTGAACTGACCGGCCCCAGGTAATTCAGAATTAACTTATGCTGTTCACCTGATTGCAACTGGATTCGAACTTGCGTCTGTATTCCAACAGTAGTTCCTGGGCGTACCAAAAGCTAGGCCCCGTCGGTCGAACTATTTTTTTACCTTCCCCCTCCCCTTATGGTTCTCCGCAATGTGTCATCTCTCCGGCGCCCTCAACCCTGATTCCTTCCCCCTCCAAACTTCTCCATCGGCACCCCTCTCTAGACCCCCGCAGCACCACTTTTTCCTAAATTCGCCCTCTCCTGCAACGCCACAGCCTCCTCTCTCAGACCCCTCCAAACTACCTTTCCCGCTCCCCCTCCAGCTCCCTTGAACCCCCTTCCTTCCCCCC